ATACAGGAGAAAGACCCCAGATCACAGCTCACAAGATGGAATAAAGAAAAGTAAAAGTAAGTGAGTATTGACTGTATCAAAAAAATTATACCATTTGAGGTGCTTAAAGTATATAGAATTAAAATGCACAATAATAGATGAAGCAAAAGTGGTCAAGTGTAGTCCAACTGTTCTAAGATCTTGGCATTGTATTCAGGGACAGGATACAAGTACCAATTAATATTAGATTTTGATAGAGTATATTCTGTAATCTCTAAGGTAATTTCAACAGAATAGTAAGAGAGTGTATAGCTTCCAAACTACAGATAAAAAGGGAATCAAAAAATATCCAACTGGCAGAGAGTTTCTATTTGGGATGATGAGAATATTCTGGAAATGAAGAGTGTTGATGTTTGTACAATATTGTGCATGTACTTGATGCCACCAAATTATACTTTAAAAATGGTTACAATGGTAAATTTTCTGTATACTTTGTCACAATAAAAATATCACCAAAAAACTCAACTGAAAGTAAGAAACAACAAAAAAGAAATGTAGGAGATAAATAGTTATACTTCATGATGGTAAATATTTAATTCTTAAATAACATCTATATAAAATAAAATTTGGAAATACTAAAATATAACAGATCCATAATTATAGGAGTTTCTTTCAATTTACCCTTTTTAGTAACAGAACAGACAAAAACACCCCGTCAATAACTATAAAGCATATTTGAAACACATTAAGAAATTTAATATGATGAATATATATATATATAGTAAAATACACCCAAGAACTATAGAATGCACATTCTTTTCAAGTGCATGAGCATTTGTAAAAAGTAGTGTGTATTTGACCAAAATGAAAAACTCAAGAAATGTCAGAGGATTAAATCATATAGAGGATGTTTTCTAACCATGGTGGAATTAAGCTACAAATCAAGATTACTAGTAAATCCTCATGTGTTTAGAAATTAAGCAATATATTTCGAAATAACCCATAGGACAAAGAAGAAGTATTTTGATCAGAATGATAATGAAAATATGATACACCAAAACTTGTAGGATACAGCTAAAGATCTAACTATTTAGAGAGAAATTCTTAACAGTAAAAGCATGCGTGAGAAAAAAAGGCTGAAATAGAAGAGTTAATCATCCATCTCAAGAAGTTACAAAAAGAATGACTAATTAAACCCAAAGAAAGTATAGAGAATAATAAAAATAAAAGCAATAAAAAAAGAAATCAATGAAATAGAAAACCAAATATATAATAAAGGAGATCAATAAAGACAAGAGTTGACTCTCTGAGAATACTCATAAAATTGAAATCTCCTGGTGCTTGTAAATCTATTAAAAAAAGAGATGGCACATATAACCAATTTTAGGAATGAAAAAAAGGTCCATAATTATAGATCTAATAGGTAAAAGATAAATATCTAAATGGTAAGAGAATATTGTGAACAACTTTCTATATAAAATAAACTTGAAAATTTAGATGAAGTCGACAGATTCCTAGAAACAAACAACTTAGCCAAAACTGGCAACATGAGACAGGAAACCTGAATATTTCTGAATAGTAAGGAATAATCAGTAATTTAAAATCTCATCACAAAGAAAACACCAGGCTCACTTGGGTTTATTTCTGAGTCCTACCAAAGATTAAGGAAGAAAAAATGACAGTCTTCTAGAAAATAGGAAAGTGGGAAAAATTCCAAGGTCTCATATTGGGTAAATGTAACCTTGATCTCAAAATTTTAAAAAGACTCAATGTGGAAAAAATTTACAGAACAATGTCACTCATGGACATAAATACAAACATAAATAAAAATGTTAGCAAGCCAAATTATCAACATGTAAAAGACATATAAGATGCACAGGTGCACTTCACTTTTCTATAAGAGCTGATTTTTTGGTTTGGCTTAAAGTAATTTTCCCCCTTTTTTAAAAAAGAAGAATCAGAGCCATCCTCTTGGTGGCAGAAACAGCGGGTCATTAGTCTAACACTAACTGAATAGTTCCTTTAGGGGGAAACCTCAAAGAAAATAGATACCAGTATTTTCTTCAGTTAGTTATCATTGAAATCCTTTTCTGATGTTCAGTTCTTTTTCCAAAAGCCTGTCTTAGGATTCAAATGGATTTAAACTGATAGTCTTTTAAGAAACTATCCAGACTAATAATACTTAGAGAAACCTGGGGCAAGGAGACAGGCGGAAGACCTCCTGATTGCTGCTTTAAATACCAGATTTTTGGATAATGTTCTCCTGATGGCAGCAAAAGAAAAAGCAGGAGGGAGCTTTCAACCAGCCTCCTACATCTCTTTGAAGAAACTTCTGCTGAGCCCTGTAGACAGAGACGGACCACTTACCAAAAAGGTACCTCCTCTCAGCCTGTTTCCTGTGCTTCCTGCTCCATCTGTGTGTGTTTGCTAATTGTTCTTCTTTCCATCTCTTCTTGTCTTTGTCCTTCTTTCCCAAACTCTTCTTCCTTCTTCTCTGATCCACAACATTTTCTTCTGTTCTTAGTCCTCCAGAAAGCCCCTGGACATAAGCTAACAATCATGTGTGTCTTCCAAAGGGAAGGATCTATAATTAAAAAAAGAAAGGAGAAAGTATGGAGTTGTGGGAAGTAAGAGATAGAACTTAAAAGGAGGAGGAGCACAATAGCCCCGGGTGGAAACAGCCAAATTTCCCCCAGCAGATGAACGGATAACCAATTACAGTGTAAACAGACAATGGAATATTGCTCAGCCAGAAAAAGGAATGGAGTGCTGATGCATGCTACAACATGGACGAGCCTCATAAACCTCATGCCAAGTGAAAGAGGCCAGGCACAAAAGGTCACATATTTTATAATGCCATTTACAGGAAATAACCAGAACAGATAACACCACAGGAACAGAACAAAGTGTGGTGGTTACCAGTGGCTAGAGGGAGAGAGGACAGCTTTCTGGGTATAGGATTTGACTTTGGAGTGTTGGGAATGTCTGGGGACTAGATAGAGGTGGTGGTTGCATAGCACTGTGAAGTACTAAATGTCACTGAATTGCTCACTTTAAAACGGCTACCTTTACGTTAAATGAATTTCCCCCTCAATAAATAAGATAATATGTTTTAAGAGGGGAATTCAGCAAAATTTCCAACTGCACTTCTCTTAGATGTTAGAACCTTCATGCCTGTCTTTCTCTTTGTGTCTGAAAGAAAGTTTTACATCTAATTTAGATACTAAGCAAGGAGAGGGCCTGAGTTGACCTCCAAATCTTAAGTATTGTATCAATCTTCAATAAAATAGCCCTAATAACAATGGGAATAAAAAAATCACCCTATGAGTCACTGAGAGAACTGGGAATGGGTCCCAAGAGCATGACCTTTTAGTCTCTTCTAAATTCTATTGATATCTCTCCACGTCCCTGAAACTCCTGACATAATTGAAGATGACTTGTCAATGATGTCATCCACCCAACCAGGAGTAAGAACACAGAGGAGCCTTGAACACAGGTTACAGCCATGTCCTCTGGAGGCTGATGCATTCAGATTCAATTTTTCCCTTGGATGATCGTGAAGCAACAGAAAATTTGTCTGGGCTGCCTTTACCTCACTCTTCTCTATGTCCTGTGACCCTCCCTGGGGTTTCCCTTTCACCTTTTAGGCATCTAGAGAAAGTTTCTCCTTCATTGTCCCTTTTCTTATTCTTCCATCTACACCAGTGTTTGGAAAAGGGGTTGACAGCATTTCTTTCCTGGGAGTAATTTTCCAATGATATTGCTTCAGGTATCTCTACTTTGATACCAGGCATTTTTGTGGATTTCCTGGGTGTTCTCAGATCCACAGGCCATCTGCATAACATACTTCAGGAGGAGGCACACGGGGTAATCCACTATGGCATATCACTGTCAAGTTTGTTGGAAGTCTAGGTACCACAGAGGAGAAGTGATGAAACAGTCAGGGCAGCCTAACAAGTAAACCAACTTTCAACAGATTGAATTGTAGAAAATTATAAGTATATGAAAGTGATTAAGATTCTAGCTTTAGCTTTGCCCAGAGGCAAATTGCTGGGTTTCTACACCTAAAAAAGATCAAAGAGAACCATTGATCAATCGTTCCAGTTTGGACTAGTTCTATTTTAACTCAAAAATAGCTTACCCCAAGGGAGTTTATAAGTCATTTCTATACTATCCTCCCCAGACGATGTGGTATTCACCTATACTAACATGCACCCACATTATCCTTGCTTATCCAGGTCACAAATATGGAGCGCCAGATGATCAGCAGCTACACAATCATCAGAAAAATAATACATCTGTTCTTGCAAATAATCCAGTGTTGGCCCCTCACTTTATTAGCACAAACTCTTTTTGCAACTTCAAAGGCATTATTATCTAGTTTCAAGAAAGCATACCCATTTTGATTATTATTACCTTGTATCTACTACTTTCTGGGAACAAAAGGTGCTAATCAGTATGAGATGATCCAGTTAGCAAGTGTTATGAACTGCTGGTCAACAAAGATATCCCTGGAGCTTTGTCTGCTGTTGGGTGCCTGTCAGGGAATTCAGCTTGCTTTGCATGCTGCCCATTCCTATCTGTCAGGTCACAACCATTCATCAAAGAACCAGAAGCTTGAGCAAAAATATTTAAGCCTACGTCTCTCTTGTAACATGTGCTTTAGTGCAGACTGATATAATCTACCAGAAATACTGGCAAAGTCATTGGGCAATGAGGCGTTTTCAGGATGCTTGTTATTTCAGAGAGACTTAGCACGCTCTTCTATCTTTCCCTAATGTTTTGGTTTGCTGGGTTTTTATTGAAATTTGGCACTGATTTTTATAAGTCCTCTTTGGGAGTGAGGACTACATTATTTTCCCCGTCTTATTTTCAATATTTGTTTTTCCATTTGGAGTTCAGTCTTTCAGGTGAAGTTCGTTGATCTGCCTTTGGGAAAATTACTTTTGGGGCTGATGCCAAAACTGGGTGACTCTGAAGTCCAGACAACACCCAATTAAACACAGTCATAGTTCTTTTTCTGCTATTTGTGCAAGTGTCAGTTACATTCAGTGCCTCTGGGCAGGCCCAGGGAACCTCTGGAGATTAGATTGATCCCAATGCCTAAATTATCTCAACACTGCACAGATGAAATCAACATGCTTTTGATTGCATTGGGATGAACATTTGTAAGTACTCTTTTAAATTTTCGAAATAGCATGGGATAAAGAGGTGAAGTCATTATTTTAAAATCTTTTATCAACCATTTCAGGAGACTTTAGGGATCAAACTGGGGGATAACAGATGGATAACCTTGGTAGTATTTTTGTGCATCTAATGACCTGATACAGCCAAGAGATGTGGTGAAGATGGTGCTCAAGAATGATTTAGTTTGGGGAAGTTCAGCTCTTTTTCCAGTTCCAAAGACATTATTAGAGAATTGGTTGAAAATTTACTCATGACATTGATAATAGAAAAAAGATTAAATGCAGCTGCTTCGCCAGACTTTCTATTTACCTGATATTTGTTTCTACTCACCTGCACCCTGTAGATTGGCCCTGTTACTCTCAGCTCACTTCCTAAATCTTCAGCACAGTTGAATCCTGAAGTTTAAATGACCCCCAGACTAAGTGAAAGGCAACCATAGAATTAGTATGGTTCCAAGTTGCCGAAGCCACTGTTTGTAAAGATTTCGCCATGTTTTTGACCTGTGGTCAGCAGTGATTCAGTATTTAATAATGTAACTGGTGTATTAGTGATCTATTGCTGCATACTAAACTGTATCCGACTTAGCAGCTGAAAACAGTAGCAAACATTTATTATCTTACACCGCTTTTGTGGATCAGGAGCGGCTTGCCTGGGTGCTTCTGGCTCATGGTCTCTCGTGAGGTTGCAGTCAGCGTGTCAGGTAGGGCTGAGCTTATCTGCAGGCTTGACTGGGCCAGAAGGATCCACTTCCAAGGAAGGTCACTCACAGTCGGCAAACTGACGCTGATCCTTGGCGTCAGGCCTCAGTTCCCCAGTATGTGCCTGCCCCGCACAGGTGCTTGAGTGTCTGTGTGGCGTGGCACCTGGGTTCTCCCAGAGCAAGTGACTCAGCAGAGAGACAGAAGATGCCATGTCTTTTGTGACCTAGCATGGAAGGCACAGATCCTCAATCCTGTAACACCCTCTTGGTTACCCAGGCCATCCCTAGTCAATGTGGGAAGGGGGGTGGGGTACACAAGAATGCCAGGAGACGGGGGTCACTGGAGCTGTTTGGAGGCCAGCCACCACACCTAGATACCCCTGATCACATTGTCTTGGCAGAACTGAGAAGAACTGAGAACTATAGACTTGCCTGCCTCCTAGGGCTTCTCTCTAGTGATATCTTCCAGGTTGTCTGTTCACTGGTTCTAAGCCTTTGAAAAGTTCTCTTACGGCTTAAATTCCTTAAACAATTTTAAGACTCCTGGAAATCAAAGCATAGAGAGCTATGCTGCCCAATTCCCTCCTTTCATAATAAGGAATTATTGTTATTCACAAGACCAATTAAGATAGTCCATAGGCAACTTACCTATGGTAACCCATACCTATAGATCATTGTGAGGGGCTCCGGAAGTTTCTTTCAGTGACTTGGGTTATTAAAATCCAGAAGGTCTAAAGTTTTAACAGTTCCATTTACTCTGCTTCTCTCCTTATTTTAAGGCTTTGCTTTCTGCAATGTTGCCCATCTCCCTGTATGCCTAGGCTCTTGTGGTTGTATAAGTGAGTGAACAGAGAAATCAGTTTTGAATAAAGAGGTGGGAGAATTGCTTATGGCCTGTGATGTCAGGATTGTAGAATGGTGAGGGACAGCGAGAGGTTGGAGATCCCTTACTTCTCAGGTCAGCCCACTACCTGCTCCTGCTCCACTCGGGGGAGGTCTAGGCAAGCCTAATCTCGAAGACCAGAGGAGCTGTGGGACCAAAGACAGGGGCCCACGAGTCCCGCGGAGTTCAGCAGTAGTTCACTGAGGGCGTCTTACCGACAGAAGCTTGCCCTGGGGGGCCGCAGGATGCATAGATCTCCCTGCCGCTTGGCCTTTAAGGAGACTTGCAGAGACAAGAAGAAAGGGTCTACGTGCGGGATGACCAGCTGTGTACACAATGCAGCCGGGGGCTGACGTCTGAGTATTATCTCTGGAATTTGAGCAAGGAGCCCTGCTCTGGGGAACAATGTTAATTGTTCTAAGCTGGATATTATCTAAAGCACACTTGGTGTTGAAGGAAAGGGGGTATAAAGGTGACCCATCCGTCAGCATGGCAGATTTGACGAGGCGGTGCTACTGTTGGACACAGACAGCTCCCTCCTCTGATTTGGAAGGATGTGGGTTGTGCCGGGCATTGGAGGGAAAAATGCTCAAATCCACCCTTCCTCAGGCTCTCGCTGTCAAATTTCCAAACCTTCTTCTCTGGAAACAGGACAGAGGCCCTGTTCCTTAGTCCTCTGGCTGCCCCTGTATGCCTGATTTCCAGCAAGGTCAACCACTTGGAAACAGAAGTCATTTCATTAGGCTTGAGCCAATTGTGAGTGGAAAACCAGAAGGTAAAGCAATTATATTTCTTGAACGGGGTAGGAGGAGAGCAAAGACTCCTCAGAACTAAGAAGGCCTCTGAGGCTTCCTTTTTTAGGATGATGTTTATTTGGGGCTGGCCCTTTCCCCTCAGGCTGCATTTTATAATTACTCATATTAACACTGCACCAAATGCCAAAACCAGCTCAGCTCTAGAAAAACTGCAGTTATTCATTGTAGCTCTGATCTACCGACTAATGATGCTCTGTTTGTTCCATTTAGGCCCATCCTGGAGAAGCTGAGGCAGTGTTGTTCAGGCGAAGAGCAATAAAACTGCTGGAGCAGATGACTTATGCCTGGAACTCACAAACCTGGTCTCCCCTTCAATATCTCAGCTCGACAGGTAGTTTTCACCATGTTTTCCTGGCATTTCCCCATCCATTTGGACATGGGCCAGATGTAACCCCTCTCAGGAAAAAACTTTGAAAACCCAGCTTGAGGTAATGCAGACTTGTGTCCTTTTTAGCTGTTTGGCAAAGGGGCTTGAAAAATGTGAGCCCCTGAGAATTTCAAACTGTTGGCAACAATAGGCTCTTCAGTTGTCAGGAACACTATCAGATTTTAGGTTTTGTTGTTCAGCTGAAATCATAGCAGAGACTGATAGGTTTCTGAGTGTTTTTCCTAAGTGGGGTGGGAAACCTGGTCACAGGTGTATGCGTATGTGTTTGTGTGTGTGTGTGTGTGTGTGAGAGAGAGAGAGAGAGAGAGAGACAGAGACAGAGACAGAGAGACAGGGTGGGGCTTGACTGCAGCCCCTGAGGGAAATCTTAGGGGAGTTGGCACCACTGTCACAGTAGCTGAGACTGAAGTGAAGAAGTGGCAGGAGAGGGGAAGCTGGTCGAAAAATCAGAAAAGCTTGTAGGAGCAATAAGCAGCTGTGGACGGTGAGAGGTTAACGAATAGTGTCCCACAATAAAGGGAAGGAAACATTCCTACTAAAACCAGTAGGGCTCTCAGGCAGTTGGCTTGGTCGTCAAGAGCTCCTGACAGAAAGGAATTGGAGAATGTCATTTTCTGTAAGGGAGGCTGTTGGCTTGCTGTGGACGGTGGCCCTGAAGGTGCTTCTGACAGCTGCGGCCCTGGGCCGTGACCCCGTCTCACCCCAACCCCCAACCCCGGCCAATTTCAAGAGAATGCCCAAGGAGTCCTTTGTAGTAAAGGGTGCCATGTGCCCTCAGCAAGCACTCTCAGGGCTTTTTGCTAACCCGGCTGGACCAAAGGAAGCCCCGAGAAAGCTAGATAAGCTGATTAAGCTGGGAAGCATTCATGACAGGCTTGAGGAATGAATAAAAAGAAAAGCTAAACAAAGAGAAAAGCCCCAGGGATGTGTTATGGAACCAAGAGAGGAACGGGGGTCAAAGTACAGGGTGCACACCGCCAAAATACTAGAAAGAGGTGAAGATGACAGAGTTGCCTGATTCTAGAGAAAATGACTCTGGGCAAGGTGATATTACCTTTTGCATTATTAGGTAACTATTTCATGTATAGCATTTTTTTCTTTTTTATAGGGTTTTAAAGACTTCTTAGACACAGACATGGCACAAAAAGACATGTTCAGAAGTGCCTGATTCATAGGCAGTGTTACCCCACAGACCCTGCTGCCTGTGGCCTTCCTCACCACGGACATGAGACCTGAAGGATATGAATAGTTATCTCTGTGCTGCTCACACAGATTGGCATTGCTGGTGTAGTGAGGGACTAAATAATGGGAAAACTTGGACATTTGATAGATCCTACAAGTTCAAGGGTAGATGAAGTCAAGATTTTTGGAGAAGAGAAGTCATGTAGAGAAGATTAAGTACTAGGGCTGGTCGGCTTCATACGGTGGCTCCTTTGCCCTGAAATCTCTTCCCTTGATGTGCCCTAAATGTTGTTTTACTAAAGATTACATCGATGAGGGATTGTTTGGGAGACGTGTCTTCTGGGGAAAGGATGTTGCAAACTATTGGTCGTTCATATGTTAGTGTGGATTAGTTTATGCAGATGGCTTTCCTTCTAGGATAGCTGGTTTCGGTTGTACCAACGCAGTGAACTTACGATTTCTAAGCAACTGAAGGGCAATTGGGTGACTGTGGAGTGTGGAGGCTTTTCATTTCAGGGGATGAGACAGCCCTGGGTAGGATGCTGAGGCAGGAGACGTAGAGCAGCTGGAGAACCCTGCAGACAAAGAACCAAGGGAGAAGGCCAAAAGGGAGGACAGATCCGAAAAAGTCCTTTAGGCCGTCGTGCAGTTGGAGTATAGAAATAATAGCATAGGTCTGAGGATGGGTTTCCTAAGATGTGTGTTATAATAAGAAGGTTCATTTCAGGTAAAGTAGATAAAGATTCTTTGTTGCAGGACTTCTCTGAGTCTTTACTCTGCTAATGAGCATTATAAATACCCAAAGGGAGACTATACTCTGCAGTGTTTAACAAGTTCATTCTATCAAACATTTGAAGACAGTCTGGTGGGACTAGTTCAACTGGACACTTTTTTGGGGAATAAGTCTATTGTTTATTCAAAACAACAACATCAAAAATCTTGCGTGGCATTTTCACCTCTGAACCTCAGCTGAAAATAAAGGTGTTAGGCTGGACCAACTGTTTCTAATTCTAGAATCTAAAGCCTATAAGAAATGAGAGCAGGCTTCAGCTGAATGCAGAGCAACCGGGCAATGCAAGGATGCAGAACAGCAGCCAAGGCAAAATCCAGTCATTATGAAATCCTTTCAAAGCCAATCTTACTCTAAAAACAGGAGAGGAATTCATTACTTCCCCTATTCTTCTCGTTTTACTCTGGCCCCTCTCCTGGGACCCAGAGCTCAGAGTGTTCCAAGCCCCAGTTGCTAATTTTCCCTCTCCACCCAAATGTTCAGATCTGCCCATCATGTCTCTGTTAAGTCCTGACAGTTTTATCTCCTTAATAGCTCTCAAATCTATTCCTTCCCTGCAACTCCGCATTTCCCTAACTCTGTACCTGTCTCCTGTCACAGTCCTCTGATTGGTCTTCCCATGTCTACCCAGCCTCATTCTAGTCCATTCTCCATACTGCAAACTTTGAAACAAATCTAATCATGTCACCACCACCCAGCACCCCCACTTCACTGCCCCCAATATGTTTTCTCCTTTTCTTATGGCATGGTCAAAACTTTTTAATGAAGGTTGGAAGGCTCTATGGAGTCGGTCCCTCACCCACCTCTCCTGCCTCGTCTCATCCATGCTGTCCTTACTCACTGCACTCCAGCCACACTGGCTGTCTTCAGTTCCTCAGACTCCCTGCTTGTCACTTGCCACAGGACCTTGGCACATGCCGCCCTCTGATTTCACCATCCTTCAGCCCTCACTCAAGTCTCATTTCTCAGGGAATGCTTCTCTGATCTCCCTGGCTGGATCAAATCCTCCTATAGCAAGTCCTTCTGGCACCACATACCTCTTCTTTTTACTCACTGCAGTTGCATTTTATATTTATGTCTGGTACTGTGTGATAATCTTCCACATTAGACTGACTAGCCCATGAAGGCATACAGTTTTTGCCTATCATTGCACCCTAAGTACTTAGCATTTTGCTTGCATATAGAGGATCCTTAAGAAATATGAGGAAACCAGTCTGAGACTATTGTTTCATTCCATGGCATGACTGATTGATAGGACCTTAATCCCCTTAGAACAATGGTTTTGCCTCTTAATCTTTCTGCCCTATAATGGTACTCATGACAGCAGCAGAGGGCCAGAGCTGTCTAGTTGTAAGAATAACAAGTTTTTAGTTCCAAGATTGTATTATTTTGGAAGGGAACAGTGGGGATGCATTCTGCATTTCTAACAATGGCTTTAAAGTGAACTTTTCAAAAGCACAGAATTGTTCATATTTAGGAGAGGTCCATGCAGAATATCCACCTCCAGAGAATGTGCACAAATGTTTGTGCAGGTGTACTTTTCTGAGGCCAAGTGTACATGTCTTTTAACATATTCTCAGAGGGCTCTGGGAACTACTACCCTTTCCTCCCCAAAGTAAATAACAGTGGGCTGGGGTTTATTTGGATTTTCAAAGGCATTCCCTCTTACCCAAATGAATTTTAAAGAGCTAATGCATGACAAGCACTTGCAAGACAAGGCAGGTCAAAGGCCAAGCCTGTTTGATCGGCCTGGTAAGGATACAGCGAGACACAGCTGGATGTGGACCATTCATTAGTTGCACAGAGAGTGAAAGGGAGGTCCACTAAAGTGCTGTTCCCCAGGGACCTCACCCCACGCATGGGTAATTACATGGGGGAGCAGCGCATATGTGGACTGGAGAGGTTGGGTGGGGTCCATTTTTGCAGATCGGTGGCAAGAGACAGGGGTGAGTGGAAGTGGACAACTGTTTGTAAGCAATAAACGGGTTTCTCCCACTTTATTTCTCCCTTTAACTGATTCACTTTCACAGGTATTTTGCCCCAGGCTGGGTCTCCCGCCCAAGTTACACGGCCTCAGGATGGCCTCCCAGTGGAGGTGGGCGGGGTGAGGAGAGGAGCAGGCCTGGAAGCAGCTCTCCGGGGCCTCCTGGGGGGACCACAAGGCCTTAGGCCCAGACTCGTGAGCTGTGTGTGAAATCTCACCTTTGTGCCCCCTGTGAACTTGTGCGCACCATTTCCTTACAATATATCAACAAAAGCCTGAATATTTCTAGGCGTGTGAGTGACGGTAATATTGGTCAGTCAACCCACAGAATGTTTGGGCAGGTTATTTCTAAACAATACCTCTGCCCTTGATATCAGCTGCCCAAAACTTTACCTGCTTTTCATCCTCCTAAATGCTTTGCGTCTCTAAAAGCTCAAATATTCATCTATCTTTCTGCCCCGTAATGGTTCTCATGACAGCAGCAGTGGGCCCAAGCTGTCCAGTTGTGAGAATAAGAAGTTTTTGGATCCCAGGTTGATACTGTTTTGGAAGGGAACACTGGGAATGCATTCTGCATTTCTAACAATTGCTTTAAAGTGAACTCTTCAAAAGTGGAGACTTGTTCACCTTTAAAAGACAGCCCCTGGGCGGTAGACAGAGCTCTGGTTTTATTGAGGCTGGGGAGAGTGTGCAGTGGATTGATCACAGGTCCAGGCATGAAAGTCCTGCCCTGCCTCCTGTCTCTGGCAAGCTTGCGGTAAGGAAGCCTCAAGCTAAGGAGTGGAGACGTCCTCATGCTCCTTGAAGAGGTGAGGGAAAACCCCGAAGGCTGCAAGAAGATGCAAATTGAGTTCTCTTACAATAACCTGACTTAGCCCTAGGTTATAAGCAGCCAACATCTGATTTTAAGAAGCTTGAGGGTTGGTACTTCTTAGTAATGAGCAGACTTCAAAGGAAATGAAACCAACTCATGAGTTTTAGTTCATTTGTTGTACAGAAGAAAGCACCTGGTTAGTGATCAGAATGGCTGTAGGTAATGTCTTGGAACCAACTGACAAGGTAAAAAAAAAGGATTTGGGAATCAGACTAGTTCACCAGCCCCTTTTTAACTGAGAGAATTTCCATCTTTCTCTTGGCAGAACAGTGTGTGGGCCCTTCTCTGATCAAGAAAGCTAGTGACTGGCTGCTCAAAGCAATGATCTCCAAGCAGTATTGGGTAAGTTCCTCCTTTATCAGAGGAGGTGTTTCATATTTAAAGCCATTGAGAATATTATCATTAACCCACCTGGAAGCATTTTTGAGGAACTTCACCATGAGAGACCATTTTGCAGGAACTCAGCAGGCATCCTCCATCTAGTTGAAATAAATATTCATGTGTATCCAAGCAAATGCCCATGTCTATCATATTTAACCATATACAGCAGAGACCATAAATATCATGAATCCTTACATTTTCTTGGGTAATGCAAAGAAGTATTGACTTGTGACGCTGAAAGAGAACCTGCAGTGCAGAACTACTGAGGGCTTTGCTAAATGCGGTATGACCAGTGTCTGCAGAATGCTGGTGACAGGGCCCGTGACCGTAAACCAAGGCAAGACGAGCCATTCCAGGGTGTTTATCATCAGGAAACTGCAGGCCTACCCTGAGGAGCCCTGGGCTCCCAGTAAGACCACCACTGCTCCCAACATCCGTGGAGTCATGATGTGTGATGTTCCCAGCAATGCTCCCAGGTGGCTGATGGGGAATTAATGGACATGACAGCACTTGGTAAAACTTAGGAAATGATGACATGAATTGGAAATTCAAGCCCTGGATGCTAAAATGCTTTCTCAGACATGAATTTGCTAAACAACCTTCACTCTTTTTCACCTGTGAAACAGGACTTTAATTCTCTGACTTTCAAAGATGCCGTAAGGCTGATGAATTAAAATAATGTAAATGGTGTTTGCATATGTAAAGCTCTGATAAAAATAAAGAACAATATGCATGACCCTTCGTAGCTTGTGAGCAAAGTTAATATGGATGCAGAAAGCTAGTATAATTAAGTGGTTAAAAATGAGTAGCATTTCTTTTATGTTTGGATTTTTTACTTAAACCTGGGGCTTTATAAGAGAAAACCCTTGACTGAGCATACACAAGGACAATTATTTGGAGAGAAAAATGTGATTGGAAACTCATACCATGTCCATACATCCGGGGCATGGATATTGTGATTAACAAAGGAAAATGAAAAACAGGACAGCAAAGTGGGCGGGGCCACTCCCGGGAGCCACAGAGTCAGAAGCTGAGTGGTCCGCTGATCCCAGACTGGAGCGTTTGTTTCCACACGGGAATAGGGAAAGGACAGAGGTTGCAGGAGAGGTCAGACCATGTCTGTCATCTTGATGCCAGCCACAATGCAGCGTTTTGGTCACAAGGAGGAAAAACTACTGTGCAGCTGGGTGACACAGAAGCGTGCATCCTAGCTGTGTGCCCTCCTTTCTCTATAGGGGGAATATGGGCCCAATGACAGGACCACCACTCTACTGTGAAGGGCAACAAGTGGCTTTGGGCCACACTGGACCTATTTGGTGATTGCGGTGGACAGGGAATGGGGTCCAACACTTGTCCTTATCTGCAGAGAGTGGTCTTCTTAGCCTTGGCTTCAAAGCTCACGTGTGTAGGTAGCAGGTTTTTAAAATCTTCAACTAATCAGGTTTTAAAAACTTCAACATACAGTGTCTTTGCCCATTCAAGCTGCTATAACAGAACACCACAGACTGGGTGGCTTATAAGCAACAGAAATGTATGACTCCGAGTTCTGGGGGCTGGGAATCCAAGGTCAAGGCACCAGCGTGGTTGGGTTCTAGTGAAGGCCCTCTTCTGGGTTCATAGCTGCTGTCTTCTCACTGTATCCCTTGTGGTAGAAGGGGCAGGACATCCCTGGGTTCTCCTACAAGGGCACAAATCCCCCTCATGAGAGCTCCACCCTAAGGACCTGATCACCTTGCAGATGCGCCACCTGCTAATATCATCATCTTCGGGGATTCGGATTTCAACGTAAGAATTGGTTTGGGGGCAGGTGGGGACACAAACATTCAGACGATCACATACAGTCAAACTGCGCACGGTAAAACTTGGTGAATTTTGCATACGTATATACCCATGTAAACAAGCACCATTTCTGTTACCAAGGGACTCCTGGTCAAAAATGCCACTCAGAGGCAACCGCTCCTGATTTCTGTCATCATAGATTAATTTTGCCTATTCTCGAGTTTCATAAGAATGGTATCTTAACAGTACATACTCAGTGCGTCTGCCTTTACCCTACATTATTTATTTGAAATTCATCCTTGCTGGAGGCACCAGTAGGTGGTAATGTGAAGGACATGCTTTTCCATTCTTTTGATGCTGATTTTACTGTTACCAAGGTTGCTGTTAAATTTTAAGAAGACAGATGTCATAATATGTAATTTTTTAAACTGAAAAAGAAGAGGTTCTATAGAAAAACATCTGACAGTGTGGTACAAGGGACACAACAATCCAGTGCCATGGCGCAGCCACCAAGCCAACACTCTTTGCGTCGCCTAGTTTTTTCTGTGTGAGCCTCTCTGCTTCCTACTGCAGTATAAGCATTTCTTCCAGCCTTGTGAAGGTGGCCTTTTGTTCCCAAAGAGTCACAGAACTGCTATTGGCTAAATCACAGGGCAGTTAAGGCTGTTATTGAAATTTAGGAGACAGCGTTCAATGTCACCTTTGATGATCTAAAATTGCACGCAGGTGGAGGGGAGCCCCGTAATGGGCAGCAGGCAGAGGCTTGTTTTTGGATTGAGTGCTCACAGGGTCTTCTGCAGTTGACTGATGTTATTAAACTTTAAGGACTCCTCTGAGAAGGATGTTTTACTCTGAAAAGCAGTGTTCTTGGGGGAGACTGTGACCTGGTGACCTCACACAATTGAATCTCTTTCATTTTATAGAAAATCTGAAGCTCCTCACCATTAAGCTGACCAAGAATAGCAGTGGGTTTTTTTTTTCCTTTTCTGCTTTAGCACATTCCAGGGGACCAGGGTCTGTGCTTCCTGAACATAACTGGGACAGAGCTTATGGAAATGTAATGAGATGAAAGATGCCCAGAACAAAGTTCACAGATGCTGCGCAACGAGAAATGCTGCATCCCTGAGCCAGTTGCACAAAGGGTCCCCTTACATTTGGCGACTATAAAACACACACACACCTTCTGCAGTGTTCTTCCCTTCAGACCAGCAGCCCCAGATGGCTAAGTAGCCCTCAGCTGAGGTGGCCTCTTTGCTCCCCTATAGTGACCTTCCAAGCCTGTGGCTTAGGTGCCTCTGGGCAGGGAGAAGGAGGCAGGGGGCAGGCAGTCCCTCCTCCTGCTGCCCACTGCCCACCACAGGGCCCCATGAAACCATGCCCTGAGAGAGGGGCCCTATCAATGGAGCACCTGGTTATTAAAATGGGAGGAAAAAAACTGAGAAAAAGTTAACTTGCAACGAAGTGAAGGAATCAGGCTTGCAAAGGACTCACTCTCCAGGTGCAAGACCAAATAAAAGGAAGAAAACCACAGGATTACAACTTGGTCAAATTTATATTCTTTTGTTCGTGGTGGGAAACAATAACTTTTTCACATGATCATCATAGCCACATACATTGATATTGTGAAAGACAGGCATAAGGCTATACTTTGTTTAGGGAGTTCAGGTTTATAGGAATTGTCCAAGTTTTTGTTATCTTACAGACCAGACACAGACAGAATGACCTCATTATTTTTGGTTTATCTCAGGGTACAAATTCTTTTTTTCCCCGTGTCCTGACTGGTGTGTCACATCCTTGGTCGTAATGGAAGCACAGCCAAATATCAGTTTTGCTTCCAGGGTCCCTCCTCTGTTCAAGTTCCTACCCCTAAGGTGGGGATTTGACCATGTAAGATGTTTTGTGACTCTGATTCAGTATCATTAATGTGATGTTTTATTTTCTTTGATGAGTTTTATTTTCAAGGGAGTAAGGAATGTTTACTACACAAAGACCCTCCTGTACATTAAAATAAACTAGAACAAATGATATTCAGCCTTAAAATTCACTTCTATCTGGAGGCCTCATAAAGCCCCTCGGAGTATAAATTTTGTGTCTCAGAAGTATTTTATTTTCCTTGTCAGTTTGTCCCCTGAGACCAGGAACCAAGAACCACCAAATTCACTTCTCCAGGCCTTGCCCCCAGGAGCTTTAACTTTTGAATGTGTGCACAAGTCAGAGAACCAATAGGACAGTGACAGGTAAATAAATGGAGAGAGAGAGAGATTACGGATGATAGATGATAAGGAATTGGCTCACATGATTGCAGAGGCTGGGAAGCCCCAAATCCGCTGTTGTAAGCCGGAGACCCAGGAAAGCTGATGGTGACTGAGTCTGAGAGTCTGAGGACCAGGGGCACTGACGATGCATGTTCTAGTCTCGGAGTGACGTACCAACTCGAACAGGCGGGCAGAGAGAGGCAACTGCCCCCTCCTCCACCGTTTGGTTCTGTTGGGGCCCTCCACAGATTGCATGAGGCTCACACACACTGGGGAGAGCATCTGCATTACTCAGCCTAATCTCATCCGGAAATGCCCTCACAGACACACCCAGAAGAAATGTCTACCCTGAGACCCCGACAAGCTGCCACATAAAATCTGCCATCACCATGTATCAGGGTCTCACCCAGTCCCCTTGTTTGTCATGTTCCTGTCGTGCCTTTGAGGCAGGGGTTCTATAAGCCACAGAACACCATGCAGACCAGTGGGAGGACACTGAAGGCCTTTTCCATAGGCAAAGACGTAATCCTTGGGCTCTTCTTACTTAATTAGATGAGTTTTCTGGCATGATCATGGTATAGATTTGATTTATCCAATTGTACCCTGGTTGGAAAAACAACACATTTTTACTGAACCCAGGCAAATAATGCCGCGGTCACAGACAGTGAAGGAACTTAGTAAAGGCATTTTGAATAATATTTAACCATTGTTGCCATTGTTTTCTTTTTTATAGGATCATTATTCTTAGGTTTTCCCTCATGATATATTAGTTTATAATCGGTATTAAGCTCTTTCATAAGATGCCCCCCCTACCCTGAACCCTGAGGGTTCAGTTGAAATAAGATGCCATTTAAAGAGGTTTCATACCAGTTTGAACAAGTGTAACCTTTTAAATTGAAGGCCAGTGCAGAATTAAGAAGAACGAAA